TTCCCCCCCCCCCCTTTTTTTGAAGCATTAACTTAGGTTCAACAAAGCATTCCTCAAGATTTTTTAAAGGCTACGAGTGAAGCAAATACATTCAGCTTACTGGTCACTATAGTATTGCATAAGCACAGCTCAGGGATTGAGCTTTTATGTGTCTTTTCCCAGGATAGGGCTGGACCATGCTTCCTGCCCTTAAGAGTAGAGCTGTTAGTGGATAACAGGACAGGAATGACAAGACAGTTTTCTAAAAGCTTTCTGGCCAGTCTTACTTACCTATGTGTGAACTACCAACATTTCCACAGATGTGAGATTTAACACTTCATTGCAATCCTATCTGTGTGTCAAACAAGCAGTAATCTAGAATTAAAAAGGATTGTTGGGCTTCTTAAGGTGACCTAGAGCAAAGACGGGTGGTCAGGAGGGTTCCTGACCCAACCTAGTCTTCCCCTAAGGGTTTGCACCCAACATGGTGCTTACTAAGAGGGCCACATGGACAGCTGTGGCTATTTATCCTCAAAGGTTTCAACAACCAGCCCTAGGAATTTTTGAACCCAGGCCTGTGCTAGAAATGCCCTATTCCAATGTGATAGGAAGTTTTCTGTGCCTCAAGGATTTCCCTTCACAACCTGTTTTACTTCAGTCTGTTTCATTACCCTTTGCTTTTGGAAAACAGAACCTCCAGGCTAAGGAAGGCAAGACAAAGCCGCCCATTGGACTTGGAAACTGAGATTCTTAAAAGGCCTTTGTTGCAGCCAAGGCATGCAGGGGTCACTGGTAGTGGGAGGAGCCTACTCCACCTCCTTGTCCCAAGATTTGTCCTAATGTAACAACCAAACATCAGAGATCAGTGATTCCTGGGCATTTGGGAACCAGGCACAACCCAAATAGCTTTACATTTTAAATTCTTCTATCTAGCGCAAGACATGCTTTCTTCAGAATTACTGAAATGAACAAAATATGGAATAAAATATTTTTTTAGAAATTTATCTTATTAAAGGGCAAAAATATTTTGTGACTTTAACATTACTTCCCTTTCTTACAGCACCATTGTGAAACCTGCATTATTACTTCTAAATTCTGAGCATGTTTTCTAAAGGTTTCTGGGCAGCTCCTAAAAGATTTTGTCCCTTAAGTAAAAGTAGTTCCTTTTAGGATGAAACTGTGGGGCTGAGACTGGTAGAGCCAGGAAGCTTGCACCTGGTCCAGTGCCATCACAGACAGATTCTTCCCTCTCAGGGCCTCAGATTCCCAAGCTCTAAACTGGGCATTATCATTCCTGCTCTATTCTTTGGCCTTTCTGGCCACACATTCAGTCCCTAAAAATCTCATTACCATTATTATTAAAATAGAAACCACTACCACAAACATGTTATAGAAACAGTGTTCACATTGCTTGATGACTGAAACACATTAGATGCAAAAATTATTCCCCAGTGGTTAGTTATGATAGAAGTAAATCCATTTTGAAATTTGGGGCCCACCAGCATTCAGGAACCACTGAATGGTTCTTGATGGAACCATCCTAATGGATGATGGAAGACATTAGATGGGAACTTAGGGCAAAGTTTCTGTAGCCCTGGAGACCAGCAAGTGCTCAGAAAGTGTCAATAAAAATACATGGAGAAACTACACTGCCTGGCATTTGGTAAGAATTCAATAATTTTTTAAAAAATTTAGTAAGTTACCACAATGGCAATTCTTTTTTTCCTTACAAAGATCTCTATATCTCAGTCTTTTAAGTTTATATTCTAGAAAATTATCACTTATTTAGAAACGTGAGGTTTCAGTCCTCCACTTGATAGAATTCTTATACAATATATAGAAATAAAACAAGGGGGAAAAAGTAAACTAACTTTGGTTATTTTATGCTCAGCTCCACAAGATGATTTTACTAAACATAAAGGATATTTTATATAGTTGAGAACAGACTTGACTCTGCAGGGCCAGAGCTTGTTGTTTAGTGGGAGAATTCAAAAGCTTGTACTGATCCAGAAGAAATAGGTACAACTGCAAAATGTACTGAGCAGGAAGATCAACTTCTATAGGAAAATCAAACCAGCTCCTATAGACTCTCTAAACTTCTAAGGTATATGTAGACCATGCTGGATGTTATACCCGGAATACCTGCCCCTATTAAGTGTTTCCTGTTTCTATCAGGTTTGGTGGGTGGTGGTTCCAGGGCTCAATCTTTGCAAGCTGGTGTGCTTTTTTTCCCTTAGAAGCTCTTGAGTACTTTGAGTCTATGGGAAGGTCACAATCAGAGATCTGCAGCTACCATCAATAAAGGCTATGGAGAGACAGAGGTAGATGTGGATCCCCACTACCACGGAAGAGGAATAAACCTAACTAAACACACTTAAAAGGCCAGGCCTCTGTTTGGAAAACTGCTCTAATGTAGGATTCCACAGCCCATAATTGCCAAATGCTAAATCCAACTTTAGCCCCTGGGGAGAAGCCTCTCCCTGTCCCAGAGGCCTGCATGAACTTCTAGTGGATTCTTGGGAGCTGTCTTAGTGCAGAGGGGCTGACTCCTGTTTCCGGCTTAGCTAGGGCTTCAAGAAGATGGCAGTAACAAAGGAGTTGCCCTAGACTGATATTTTTCAAACTGAGTTGCAAAATCCATTTGATCTGTGACTAGGAGAAATTTAAATGAAAAAAAAAAAATGATCAGAGTGCATCACATATATCAAGGGTAAACCAAATCTTGGATTCTAATACCACTCCCACTAAAAGAAACCATGGCTGATTCCAAAGCTGAGGCAGGGTAAGCTCAAGATGAGCTGGGAGCAAGCATCTTCTTAGGCCAGAAAAGGAAATGTTTAAAAAAAAAAAAAAAAAGATGGGAGCATATAACAAGGATGTTGGAGCTAGCCTGAAGGGGTTCTCTGGACAAAGCTGAGACCATATGAGCATGAAAATAATGAATGAGAATCACTCAAAAAGTGATACCATGAGTCCATAATGAAAATTAAATGAATAGATCGAAAAGAAAGAAGGGCTTTTGCTTATAGATGACCAAGTGTAACTGCTAAAGGTAGAGTGCTA